GAGGCTATAACAGTAAATAACATTGTGACATGTGGATAGTAGGATCAGACTATGGTGCAGTCAACATGAAAGCACGGATCCATTCTCCTTTGTAAAGGATATTTTCTTGGCACACTTTGGGCCCCTTAGTAACAACTGAGCAGCCTACCCGAATACTGACCGTGTCCATCCCTTTATGACCACATCTGCACCCATCTGCTGATGGCTTCATCAAGCAGGATAATATGCTAAAAAGCTCCGATCATCTGAAATCAGTTTCTCGAACATGAAAAAAAGAGCTACCACTAATGAAAATGTAACCAAAAATATTTTTTTTCCTGTTTCCAGTAATCTCAGTGTTTCTCATACCATAGTATGCTCAGTGCCCCAAATTAGGCCTGAAAAAGATCACATCTGTCCTGAGACTTTCTTCGTGAGAGAATCTGAAACAGCTCATTTCTAATTCTTAGAGCATATCATTCCCAGTGATTCAGATTCTCCCCTCCGTGCATACTGGTACTCTGGTCTGTTTCAGGTCCTGTGCCATGGCCCCTATAACTTTTATACAAACAGAATAATCTCATAACATGCCAATCCAAACTGACAATCACAATATGATTTGCATTCCACAGCAGCCATAATAGCAGTCCATATTTGAGACTGGTTTCAAACATCTTAATTTAAGAACTTAGTCTCAGAAAATCATGCTTATCCTTTAGCTGGCCTGCCCTGTCTTTATGAATTAAAAGTATTATGATGTCACTGATTGGATCCAGAATTAGACATACATAAATACGGGGAAAAATGAAATAAGAATACATTTAAAAAGTCTAAATTTTGAGTCGCATAATGATATAATTTTAGATATTGGATAAAAATCTATATATCTAGACATTCAAAATATAAGTTAAATAGATTAAAAAATATATTTCTATAAATACATCTTGCCTGGAGGGTTAAGGGTAAAATGGAGAACTATCTGCATCATCAAAGGCAGAATGGACATGATAAATGGTGAAAACATAATGACACTGCTTCTCTCTTCACCCATTTCCACTTGCAGCTATGTGTTCTTTTTGTAATGGCACCAATTAAGCATTGGAAAAGTGTGAAAAATGCCCCAATTTAGATCCTGTTAAATGAAAACAGGCAACAAATTTTCCCATCTGCTCACAGAGCTCTTTGAGGAACATTTCCAAGGTGTAAATCAACACTTTTGAATACAAGCAGAGAGCCATATGTTGTTGTTGCTGCTGGATTTACAGTGAAGCCTGGGTGAAAAGAGCAGCTCTTTGACTCTAATGCAAAATAGCCTTGATTTACAGCAAATATGCTTTTGAAAGCCGTATTAGGAAGTCCACAAATTCTTCTTTATTTTCTTTAACTAATTCTTAAAAATATGTAAAGTCCGCATTGTCTTTGATGATGTTTTTTTTTTAAATAAAACACTTGCAATTTGAGAAGCAGTATAACAAACCTCTGACCGTTTGACCTATTAAAACATTTTAGCCTTTGAACAGTTGTGTATGAGCTGAAATCAAAGCATGACTTGTGGCCGACTGAGTCCAAGCACTCTGCTGAGAACTGATAAGATGGCACACATTCAAAGTCTAGTGCAGATTGCCATATTGAGAGGAAAGAGGAATGTGTTTGTGTGTCTGTGTGCGTGTGTAATGTCTAAATGTACAAAAATCTGGGTTAGCACCATAACAAATGGAACGAAGATATGAGCAGGCAACAGATTACTCGTCCTTCCAGTCTCTGACAGCTTGAAACATCATTTCAAACATTCAGTACAACGCAGAGACAAATAGATAAATCACACAAGTGATGTTTTACTTTTAACACGTCGATGGCGGACTGCTTAAGAAATGATTTAGGCTGTAAAGGCTACAATGGCATTTTTCTCACTGGAAACATACAGTACGTTATCACAGGAAATACCAGGAATTTTGATAGAGGTCAAAAGCCTCTGAGGGTGAGTGGAGCAGGGCAGAGGTTGTGAAAAATTGACTTTGATCATCAGTTGCGTTCATGAGATATGAGCACAAACCACTGGCTCCACAGGAAGCAGGGCGGTACCTGAGTCAGGGTAGAGAGAACAACACAGAAACGCACACAATAACTCACAGTACATTTATAGAGATCAAGCATCATCACATACACATAAAAAATGAGAAGCAGGAAACGTTAGGATTATCCCTCACAGCAAGCGCTGTGTCTTTAGAAGCCACTACTGCGTGTCATTAAATGTTCCTGTTAAAGGGAGGTTTTTCCTCCCCACTGTCGCCGAGTGCTTACTCACAGGAAATCAGGTTGATGATGGTTAAAGTTTTTTCTGAAATATTGTAGCGTCTTTGCCTTACAATATTAAATGCCTGGAGGAACTTTACAAAATAAATGTCATTATATAAGTTAAAAACAAAATTCAAATGACATAAAACTGAATAGGAAAACACAAAAACAGCAAACTCTCATTCTGCGTGCAGTACATTTGTTTGTTTTTTGCCACATAATGCAAAATTCCCACTGCTACTGTAAGTGAACAAAACCTTTTGGCACTGTGTATCAGACAGTAAAATATATTCCTTTGTAGTCTGAACAAAAAAAAGGGTGAAAAAAAGATCAAAGTAAATTTTTCAGTTTGTACACTGAATATGAAACAAAACTCTGACTCTGAGGTTTGACTGTTGGCTTTATTCTCCAATTTGTTGGTCGAACAGTGACATCAGATCAATAGAGCTGCACTTATGCACTATACTGACTTTCAAACACAATAATCAATATTTAAACTTTGAGAATTTAGTGAGGGATAAAAAATTTGGCTATAGTGGGTTCACTCCATAAAGTAGGGACTATAAATCTTACCCACTTGTCCAAATGTGGATGTGAAATTCTCTTATTTCAACTGTCTGAGTGGAAATCTTGAGCGGGTTGGTAAGGACATTACTTTTAGTGACCTCCAGTTCATCCCATGTATCATTACCTCAAACATTCTCTAACAGGCTCGTCCAAATATCTCCTGCGTTAGTGCGGTCTAAAGTCGGTTCTGCATGACTGCGGATTTAGCTCTCTTATAAGGAGGAGCAGGTGGGCTGGATGAGATTGTAGCTTTTCTTTTTTATAAATTTAATAATAAAGGATGTGCTCTGACAGCTGAGCAGACTCACCGTGACTAGAAACAGAAATGCTGCTGCCCGTAGCCAGACTCCTGAGTCGATATTAGACCCAAGTTGCTAATATAGCTTTGGGGCTTTTTATCTAAACTGCTCAGCTACTTGGTTTGATGGACAGTCAGTCTCACTGCTCAATGCCAACCGCCATATTTTCTGTGATCACATTCATGCCTTAGCATGGAAATGGTGAACAAATTCAAACAAATTCTGATGGTGACGGTGATACTAACTCTGGTGAGCATTTCTGCTACTTAGCTCAAACTATAGCTGAGTGCAGGGATGACGTTGAGAAAGAAGAAATCTAATTTGAAGCAGCTATAAACTCTGACTAGTCCTTTCCTTTCCTTCCCAATGTCGCCAAAGTGCTCACTCATAGAGGGTCAAATAATTATTGAGGTTTTCCTCTGTATTTGTGTTATTGTAGGGTCTACCTTATAATATAAAGTGCCTTGAGGCGTCTGTTGTTGTGATTTAGCGCTGTATACATAAAATGAAATGAATGGAACTGAACTCGTCATACTGGACACTGCATACCTCACATTTTGGTCCCGAGCCACTGTTCAGTATGAAAACAGGAAGTACAGTGCCTCAGTGTTGTAGGGTCAAATGAGGGGACGGGTGGGCATGTGTCATGTCTGAAGCATGCCGTACCTATTTTACAGCTTGTTTTTTTGTGTGTGTTTTTTCTATGAACATGTATTTTAGAAGCAAAAATTTTAAAAGCATTGAGAACTTTCACCAACACTCACTAACTGGCTCTGTTATTAAGGTAAATTTGACACTTTTTTTGCAGCACAAAGGATCTAAGAATAGAAAAGTTGTCTCTTCAGTTTTTATCCATCCATCCAGCAATTTTGTTATCTGGTGTGTAATCATCATTAGGGTCTTTTGGGGGTGTGGGGGTAAAACTCTAATGCTTTTTGAGCTACGCAGACACACATGGCCTTTCTCCAGCATGGGTACGGACTCTTAGCCCTATTGCGAGCACTCAAACTAATAAGAAGAAAGAGGTGGAAACCGACCAATCTGAAGAGGTCTCAGCTGTAATTATGGGCCTCTGAGAGTGCTCGGCTGTCTTGTGTGATATGAAAACTAGTGAAGTTTCTCCTAAGTTGCTTTTCATTCAATGCATGATTCAGTACTTCTTATTACAAAATGTGAAAGAAAGAAAGTGCTACTGAATTTGCACGCACCTACAGGATGGGCACTTGGAAATAGGCAATCATTTGTTTCAATCTAAGATGATGTAGATACCACTATCAGCAGGAAGCTTTCATCATGCAGGAGAGCAGTAGTCCAGTACCAGCAAAACTAGATACTGTCTTCTATAAATATGCATGTGAATCCACACACCACAGCATCCTGGTGTGGTATGTTTAGGTGTTGCTGATTACTTTTCGCCAAGACATGTTTGAGATTCATCCTGGAGACATGTATTAACTATGTGTCACAACACGCTCTGTTGCTACACTAAACAGACCGGTAGTTTGGGGTTGATCGTTTTCCATGCAGGGTTTGTTTGGCCTCTCTGTGACCCTGCCTCTTGACCTTTCCTCTCCTCTGGGCTCCCTAGTGGTTTGTGCAGGCCCATCTTTCTACTTCAGCTATGCACACCAGGCCTGGAGAAAGCAGCTGCAGTGTCACTGGGAAGCTTTACCGCTTTGCCTGAAGGCACTCGGATTTTCACACCGGGGTCAGTATGGTTTGTCGGTGCCTGGTGGCAGTTTGGATAATCTCAGTGATGTGCCACTGTTTTACACTTATGGCATGAAAGAGAGGCTTATTCTGGTGTGTAATAACCGGTGAGTAATAAACAACATAGCTTTTATCCCCCCTACCTCCAACACGTGTCCTTTTGCTTTGTTTTGTTTGTTTCTTTGGTCAAACTTTATTTGCCCATAAGCGCATCATCATCACCCTGGTGATAAAAAAGCACTGGAGCATTTAAGGCTTGTACACATGCAGCAGTCATGCAGAATTCGTGACCACATATACGCTCTCTGGTGGAGACTGTGAGCCCATCGTTATGTTTTTTGCGGTGTGGGTGGAGCTGTGCAGTAGGTTCAGACCTGCTGTACCAGCTCTGACTCTGGGATTTGTTATGAAGGATGCCAGCAGTGGAAACCCGTCGCATGGAAGAAATATGTTTACATTTATCTAATTTGTTTTTTGTAATGATCTTTAAAAATGGCATCCAAACTTTATAGTTTATTAAACATTGTGTACATACACGTTTAAGTGAGTTTAACACTAATCACGAGTCAATCTTTGTGGATGTAGTTTTTGCAGGGGCTTCTTTTTTCCCCATCGGTTATATTTTTTATTTTTATTTAGTTTTGTTGCCTTTTACTTTCCCTTCGCTTGACCCGTGATAAATACTGACAGTGTGAACGGCTGCTTGGCAACCTTACTGGAAAGACAGAATGAAAGGAGACTGAGAACGACGCGTGTCACACTGCTTTCTTCAGAAAACTTACTCCCTTACTTCTCTTTATGGCGTTTCAAAATGACAGACTCTAACTTGAGGAACGAAAGCAACCATGGGCTGTTTTTCACTTCTTTTAATGGATCTGTTTCGGACCAGATGTTACCAAATGACAGCATTACCACATGCAGGAACTTCACAATGGACTCACAGGTTGTCGGCGTTGGGATCTTTCTCTCCGTTTTTATTTTGGTGGCAATTGTTGGGAATATTTTGGTTATCCTGTCTGTGGTGTGCAACAAACAGTTACAGACCGTCACCAACTTCTTCATTGTCAACTTAGCCATAGCAGACCTCCTGTTGGGCATTATTGTGCTGCCCTTCTCTGCATCTCTAGAGGTGCTGGGATGCTGGGTGTTTGGCCGGGTTTTCTGTAACATCTGGGCAGCGGTGGATGTGCTCTGCTGCACGGCATCAATCCTCAGCCTCTGTATGATCTCCATCGACCGTTATATCGGCGTGAAATACTGCCTTAAATACCCAAGTATTATGACTGAGAGAAAGGCAGTCGCTATTTTAGTCCTAGTGTGGGTATCATCTGTTGTGATCTCGGTCGGTCCGCTCCTGGGATGGAAGGAACCGCCGCCTGTGGACGAAAGCATCTGCAGGATCACAGAGGAGCCGGGATACGCGCTCTTCTCCTCGCTTTTCTCTTTCTACCTCCCGCTTATGGTCATTCTCATCATGTATTTTAGGGTGTACGTGGTGGCCCGCAGGACTACTCGGAGCCTGGAAGCGGGAGTCAAACGCGAGAGAAATAAGTCTATGGAAGTGGTCCTGCGGATACACTGTCGCAGCGTGCTGGAGGACGCGCGTCCGGCGAGCTCAAAAAGCAGCAAAAACCACCCGTTTCGAAGTTCGCTCTCCGTGCGGCTGATGAAGTTCTCCAGGGAGAAAAAGGCTGCGAAAACCCTGGCCATAGTGGTGGGGATGTTCATCCTCTGCTGGCTGCCCTTTTTCTTCTTTCTGCCAATGGGTATGTTTTATTTATCGATCTCTTTTATTTTTATATAATCGTTTCTCAGCATTTCATGCTGGGTCATGAGCTGGGTCCTGCGTAAAATAGGATTCAGTCTGTTGCATTTCCACCAGACTCCTGCCAAAGACGGAGAATATGACTTCTTATAAATGTTCCTCTCCTAAATGCGCTTTTAAAAAGTTTCTATCTTTAAGAGCAACAAACACGCCTGTTTCGGGCCTGCTATGATTTATGATTTTACTCCTGAACTGATCATGTGTGAGATGCACATCGGTCCAAAATAAAGCGTTCTGAATAAATGGGTCGTGTTCAGTATAAGAAATTGACGCTGTGATTGAAAACGTTTGTGTCTAAGAGGCTCCTCTTGACAGCTGCGCAGACTTTTATAAAAGACTCGAAATTCTGGTCGCAAAGGAAACCTAAACGTATGAAATTCCGTGAATTTTAATTTCAGAAAACCCTTTCACACTGTTAATAAACTCTGTCAAATTGGCGTTTGGCCTAACAAAATAAGAAAATTGCGTGTTCTGGATTGCATGCGCAGCTTATTTTGGGAGCTATGCCAGGAAGTGATCAAAATTAAGATGCTATAATGCTACAAAAACCAATTCTTTTGTCAGGAAAGGTCAGCTCTGCAACATGACCATTAAAGTGGTTTGTTTTCATGCCTGTAATTTTTTCATGACTGTAATTATTCCTTCACATGGCTAATATCACATTTTTCAAAGAGCAGTCATAACAGACTGACATTCTTCACTGATGACCAGTTCCAGCGGCTACTCACCTTGGTAAAAACTCAGACAGGCATGATTTTCAAGAATAAACATTTATGTTTTATTGTTGAGCATATTCATTGAGTTGACTACAGTACTAAGAGAGTGGGATGTAAGATTCAAATCAGGCAAAGAGATCTTCTATTCCCCCTGCAGATGGTTGAAAAGGTCCTCCACTGAGGGTGACCAATTCAGTCTTTATGACAACACATAAATCAAACCGAACGAGCACATTTTACAGTGGAATCAAATGGAAATAGCTTTAAACTTAAAGATAAAACTGGACATAAAGGCACACCTTAAAACACAAACAGAGGCAATATGGGTATTAGCAACAAAAAGAATGACTGAAATGCAAAACTGAATAAATAAAGAGTGCCTACGTAGCAGGATTCAGGCTAGATTCGCTTAGACTAATAGAGCTCTGGTGCCACATGTTAATGGTGGCACCACAGATTTTCATTTTGCATATATTTCACATAATTGATTGTGAGAGCCATTGAGAACAAATGGCCAGTATCTTACTGGGCAAAGCACTAACACAGCACTGATTCTTGCTGCACCTCTCCTTTTACAGACTGGAATTATTAGAGCAAAGCCCGCAGGGACACACGGGGTGCATGAAATGAAATTGGTGCTACTTATCATTTTATTCACTTAATGGGAAAGAAAGGGGCACGTTTATTTGTATGCCTAAATCAGACAAACTCCATCCTCAGCATGTGATTAAAAATGACAGGAATGAGATTTAAAGGTTTAAAATGTTAAAAGTCAGTACACATTTCATTACACACATTATTAATCAATTTGTGCACCTCAAGGCAGTCTCTAATAATAGTTTTAATTAACATTACTGTAATGATTGTAATAATTTGACTTTGTGATCACGTTATTGCTTTTAGGAAAGGTCATACAGACTCTTAAATCTAAAATGGTGACACTAAAAATCTGCATTCAAAGGCAGTTCAGCCAAAAGGGATCATTAATTATGTCTGGTGTTATCTTGAGTTGTTTTATTTTTTATTTATGATACCTGGTGAATGTTAGAAAGGTCTCTAATTTGCATGATAAAGGAAGTCAGACTATCAAAACACTATTATCTAAACTAACGTCTGCTGTAGATTAATGGATGACCTGCAATTTGGTTTTTAAAGCATAATAAAACTCTGAACTCTAAGAATCTAGTCATCGTGCTGTAAGCCATCTGGTTTGCAAAAACCCTTTGAGAGATGACCTCAGGCCTCCTCAAAGGAAGTATTTTTAAACATTAAGTTCCACCAGGGATCAATAAAGTTCTACACTGTCAATTTATCCCCATGGGTGGCTGCCTTTTATTTCCCAAACCACTCACAGATGAGTGTGGGGCCTTAGCACCGCTTGCTAACCTACACTCGGTCAGTCAGACACGGTGATGTTGGTCCATCGCAGAGACAGACATTAATAGGTAACTTTTTGCCAAAAGGCAGAGCTGTACGTTCAGCTCATCTTATACCAATCAGGACTTTTCTGTGTGATGATCCAAATCTAGATGGAATCCTCTGACTCATTTCAACCTATATTAGCACACCAGACCCATTTTATATTGCCAGAAACTGAGGAAATAAAGAGGAATGGCCTGTCAGATTTCTGCTTAAGGCCGTTTCTTTCCCTCTGTAAAAGCCAACCACGACCACTGAGGTGGTATAATTAACTAGTTCTTCTTTCAGGCTTAGCAGAAAATGCTTTTTTTTTTGTTTTTCAAAAATGCACAACTGATTTTAAATATTTTCACCCACTATTGTTTAATAGACTGAAATTGGTTGTTGTAAATGAGGAAGTGCACAAAAAATCTGCAGTCTCTCTGAAGGCCAACAGGTGGCGATAGCTGTGGTTGCAAAAGGACTTCTGGTCCTACTGAAAACCATGTGAGGACATTGTTCTGATTTGACGTCTGTAAAGAGTTTCTTGTTGAGTTTATGGACTCAGTCACTCGTTTTGGATTAAAAAATATTTTGTAATTGTTTCATAATTCTTGGTCATGCCATTTTTAAAAATTGTAGCTAATTTGTGGTATGAGACTACATATTTATCGGCTAACAACAAAAACCGCATGTCATTAGGCATGTGGTTTACCAGTCAGACCCACCAATCTTAGTCACATACATTTTTTTTTTGCAACCAAGATAGCGATGGGGTAAATGCTCATCTCAGGTCTTCAAAACGTGACACAACATTAGCTACTTTTACTGTCTGCGATTCTGACCAATAAATTATCTGAGCTAGAGACCTCTACTGTCCAAAGTCTGTTAAAACACCTCAGTAACACATTAACAAAACCCATTGTTATGCTGTGTGACTGGCCCCTTCATCATCATGAAAGTATTGTATTAACCACATACACACAGTCATGCTGCTGTAAATACTCAGCTACACCTTATTATTAGCCCCTCTTGTGATAGTCGTTATTGTGGGGGGCATTTGATAGTGATGACCCATTTTAAAATATTTAAATTAGTTGTGGACTCCGGGCGTGATTCACAAGCAGATTTGATTAAGCAGGAAAGTAACGGGAGACGAGCAATCAGAAAATCTAAAATTTTACAACTAACGTTAACTACTAGTAAACATTTACTATTGCTACAGTCTGTAATATTTGCAGTTTTGTATTATGATAATATGTCATTTGGTCATTAATATCATACCATAAATCAATCATAGTAGTTAGAAATGTGTACAAAAAGGGGAAGCACTCAATTATTCTGACAGAAGTCCAAAGAACAAAGTCCAGAAAAATGTTTTAGATATTATGATGAAACTAAGTGAGTAAGTGCAGAGGGCATCCTCTATTTGTACACAGGTACGTTTTAATACAGGGATTTTCCACTTTTGTTTTCAAAATCTCCATCAATGTGAAAACACATGAAAAAACAGCAAAACCAAGCAGTCTGACATCAAAAACTGAAATACAGGCGCACATCTTTGATGTTCCAAGATAACATCCTTGCTTTCCTTGTTGGCATATTAATACAAAAACGTCGTTGTTGAAAATCTTCAGGCTGGAAGAGGTTTTCAAAAGGCCTATTTTCAGTGGCCTAAAATGCTGTTTAAAAGTAGAGAAAAGGTCACAAATGCAAAGAAAATTTATGTCTTCCAGAATATCCAAGTATGTGTGGACAGGGGCTTAGAGTCCATATGCAGTCGTCTTTATTTGGTTTTGGTTTTTTCTGTCAGTGAAGCTGAAGATCTTATTTGACCTGAGCGTAAAGTAGCCAAATAGTTTTTCAGTGGTTATACTTGAACCATATAACTTATTGAGTGTCTTAATAAGTTGTTGGGCGGCCATGTTTTTCCAGAATAAAACTATATCACTCTTTGAAATAGACTTTGCAGACCACTGGCAGTATACCTGAGTACAAAAACAATTTTGACAACGGGTATTCCTTCATTTGATGTTCTGACCGTGGTGATAAATTGTTTAAAATCTCTCATAAGTGTTCAGTTTCTTTGGCTATACTCTCCCACTGTCAGCCAACTCTAATGCATTCTTGAGATCCCCTCCCAGGCATTTCAACCCCCATTCACACCTTGCTTCAGCTGACCTCAGAAGATCACCTCACAGAGTGGGGCAAGGTCTCATATTAGTTTCACGCTCGACCCCCAGTATGGCAATGACCCACGCCTTTTTTCACACCTCAGCTCAAGTAATGACCTCATGACCCTCAGCACCATCTCCAAAGGCCACAACCCCCACTGGAGGTTAAATATCTGGGGCTTGCCAACATTTGTTTTTAGAACTGGACAAGATCTTCACAAGCCTAATTAAATCCAGTTACCTTCGTTTTCAAGCTCCCAAGACTATCTTGATCTGGCTGGCCGAGAGCCTGCACAGATACAATTCACATTGTTTTCTTGTCAAAACATTCAGACAACCCTTATTGATGGAGGAATGGTCATACTGGAACAAATAAAGGTGATCATTATGAGCAGCTGTGTTTTTTTGCAATGAATCTGAGGGCACAAGTGGACAAAAATCAACTATGCCAACAAAATGCCTTTGCCCAACATCCACACAGCATAGCAGGGTGCCTCCATCCCCTCACTTTTAAGGTTTCAAGTTTTTCAGTGTCTGTATATCTTAGCTGTTGGTGGCCATATGTTGAGTTTAAGCTTTAGAAAAGCGTAAAACAAAATACACTAATATACAAAATACACAAATGAAAAAAGATTGCCATCTCAGAAGCAATAAAACAAATACATAAAAAATATACCTGTTGTCATGGTGTTTTGGCTGTGCGTCAGAGCAGTGAATCACTTGCTGCCTGCCTCTAAAGGTGATGTCATTTTAGGGACATAAATCATAAAAAGAACATCCCTTCCTCTTATTAATTTATTAATCTTAGTCTTTAATCCTGAGTGAATTTGGGTGGGTAGTGATGAAAGCAAAATGAGACTATGAAGAAAGTCTCAACTTTGTTTCATCATCCACTTCTTTTAATATAAGTGCATTCTTTCTGTTTAGTGGTCAGTAGTGTCAGAGCAACTCTGAGAATTACACACAAGCCTCTGTGCAGTACTAAGCAGAAAAAAAAAGGATTTCTGGGATATCAGTGCAGACTTGACATCATAGCATTGTTAAAGGTTGCCTCTGTGTCCAGGCTCGATGCCATGTTAAATCCCAGGCCTGGAGAGAAAGAAGAATAACGGTAAAGAAAGAGAGAAAAGCAGCTTCCTCTGAAAAATAAGGGTGTCATCGGACTATTGTACTAAAAATAGCATTGGGAGTATATGAGCAAAGCAAAATGCCTTGTGCTGCTAGTCATCTGTGCAAAAAGCAATTTTCATTATGAAAAACTCTAATGTTCTCATTTGTTAAATTACCAGTGTGTAATGTCATATGCACAAAAGCTAGAAAACTTCCATATATTCCATTTTTCTTTAATATCTATAATCCCCACTACAAGAAATAATAGAAATTCCCTTCATTTTCCATTATTCTAAATAGAGTTGATAAATTGAATATTTAGAGGTTATCCATTCCAGTATTTCACATCAGGCAAAACCAATAACAAACACAGACAGAAACACCAGCAGAAACAAAGACGATGTGCTTGCATTAAATGGAACATTTCAAAACTTTTATGAATCATTGTGCTAAGCCTGGTGTGTGTCCTTGGAGCATGGAAAAAACATTTTTTGATAACAATGTGTATGTTTCACCTGACCCCTTTAGCGAGAGTTTCCATCACAGGAAAAAGCCCATCTAATATTGTGTTGGCACATTTCATGTAATCAGTTAACATCAGTTAAATCCATTCAAGAAATCTGTAAGTACCAGAAAAATCTGCCTTCATCGTGCATGGTATTCAAGCAAAAAGAAAAAAAGTTCTGTGCCCTGAGGCTTGTGGGTGAAGCATGTTCTATAAATATCTGCCCTTAAAATGTCAGAACCTCCTTTGCTTCTATTAACAAACATAAGCAAAAAAAAAACAACCTGCAGGTGCACAATAAATCATTAAAAAGATCCTGCCGTCAGAGTGCAAATACATATACACATAACATAATAGTATATCACAGCTGTGCATAGACGTGTGCATTTCTTGCAGTATATATATATATCTTTGCTAAATTAAGATTATTCCATATAATTATTTTGCTTTATTATTACTTACCTATTATTATTTAGTATCCAACCTGACTGACAAAATGACATACAGCATCCAACTGTAAAAATCATTCATATTTATTAAATTTATATATTTTGCATGTGTATAAATTCTCTGACAGTACTAACTTTTATCTTCAGCGGCTCTTTGTAGGATATTTGCGGAAATATTTGTTCTATATTGTTCATTTACTTTATGGTAACTCACACATCTTCCTGATGGCTTGATCTCCTTTCAGGTTCCTTCTTCCCGGCACTAAAACCGTCTGAAACTGTGTTCAAGGTGATCTTTTGGTTGGGATATTTCAACAGCTGCATCAACCCCATTATCTACCCCTGCTCCAGTAAAGAGTTCCAGCGGGCTTTCACCAGGCTCCTCAAGTGCCAGTGTTACCAGAAACGTAGGGTCCTTCGCCGCTTCTATGACCAGAGATGGCGGACTGCTGTCAAGGGAATGACAAGGGATCAGAGAGGCGATTATAAGCCTGGCTACGCTGTGCACGAATCCTGCGGCAGCTCTTTGCTACACACAAGAAAAGGACATGCACTAGGTTTCAAGAGATGGAGTCTGTTTCCACCACTGCGAAAGTCCTCCTTCCAGCTCAAAGAGAAAGTAAATAATCTGTCAAATAAAATTAAGGGAGGGACGGGAAAATGCAACACACCTGCTGTTGGTCGAATTGAAACGGTGGACACGGTGTCTATGGGGATTTACAACTCTTGTGAGCAGAGTAGCTATCAGTTTTATGATCTGGCAGAATGCTATGGCCTGAAAGAGACTGACATTTAGACGGTCACCAAAGAGGCTTTTATTTATTTTCAAAGGGCCATATTGGACCAACATGTAAGAAAGACTGTGATAATGCATAATATCAAAGAATCAAGGCACGATTAAAGCTGAGAATAATGGGTTGATCCTTGCACAAACAGGCAAAAAAAGGAAACCCTTATCCCAATCACGTGGGTCCCACCATGTTTATTTGGATGAAACTTCTAGCGAACTGCTCAAAGACACATTTGGGACATGGGTGCGAAATAAGCAGTAAGTTGGGACTTAATACTTTTTCGCTTGAAGGCACTGGATGTGAAGATTTCATAGCCTACAGCTGACAGCTGGCAAGTTTTAAGAATGTAATATTTTGGGAAAGACAGTTAAGATAAGGCTGGATAATTAGTATTGTTGTATGTTTTTCTTACAGTTTTGTATCAGGCAGTTTTGATGTCTTTAAATGTTAGCCAGCTCACACTGTGTGATAAAGACTGAGAGTAAATGGTTTGGTTGGCATGTTTTGTGATTTAACAAATAGACAAATAAGCAAAAGAACAAATACCTGTACTGAAACAAAGTTTTCAATCTCCGCGAAAGTAAAATCACAAGTGCATTTTTGTGTTGGTGCCACAGTTTAATCAAATGTAAAATTTCATATTGAATTATGATCATTAATCTGCGCCTCTGTTTCTTTTTTTGACAAGGCATTGTAAAGACGAGTGGCCAACGTTGGCAAGTGAACAGTAATGTCAAGTTGTGTTTTTTGGGGGTTTTTTTTATGTTTATCAGATGAAAGGCAAAAAATGTAGGAGAGGAAAAAATGTGGAGACAATAATTTCTTTATTGTTTTATGCCTTCCAGTTACGTTACGTTATTTGATTCATGAGTAAAGAAAAATATCTCCTTCATCCAGAAGATGTCACTGTTGCTTTGGTTGTTTTACCTTGTGCACCTATTCATCTTTAAGTAAAGCTAAATGCTTTTGGGATGACTTGTTTTTAGTAGAAGTGAATCTGTTGGAAATAAATTAACACCTGCATTTAATGAAAGCGGTCAGAACAGCAGTAAGAATATGTCTACTGACTCAGAAATACAAATTACAAAAAGAAAAAGAAATACAAAAAGATTTCAGGAAAGCACAAACACACTTTCATAAATCTGGAATTGGAGGCAGTGCACATTAATAGAGAGAAAGGGAGCAACTCCATGAAGACCAATAAACCACAGTTGATTCCTGTTAGAAGCCTTACTAGAAATTAGGTATATAACCTAAACTTTACTGTATTAAAGTTAGAAAAATCACTTAAAAGTGGTCAAATGTGTTATATTGTTGAATATAATTAAAGACAAAACTGCCTTCATCACAGCTTTCCATAAATGGATCTTTATTGATTTATTCAGAAAAAGCTTTGGTAGCTCATTCTCAGAACAGCAGCCTCAGATTTCTTCTTAGACAGAAGATTTACAGCACAGAGAAAAAACAATAAAGGGGAAAATGGGACGGGTACATTTCAAGTTTGTTATTTAAGTTATTAGGCTTAGCAAAACACTATTAACGTTCGTTTGAAACCGATTATCAACATTAACAGACTGAACTGGACTTAATAACAGGAGTCCATATAATTTTAGTAAATTATTCTGGTGAGTATCAGCTGCGCTGGGTATGTAAATCGGGCCATCCAGCTGCGGTGCTGATCGTACGCCACTCGTGGCAAAAATCCAGACAAATGTCACTTGATCAAGGAGCAAATCTGCATCAGATGAGATCAGCTGACTCGTGTGCGTGCGCTGTGCATATAAGAAAGTGGTGCGCAAAAGCAGGGTAGTGACATAATTGATGCGGCATTATTGATATTTGAAGCATGTGTACCTGCACATGCATCATTAACAAACGGGTACTGTGGAATATATTTTCTCACCTAAAGGCTCGTGCTCTCCGTCCACTCCCCGCAAAAAATTAGCAGCTTGTGCGGTGTCTGTGGCATCGGTGCTCTCATCGCATGCGATGGAGTAAAAATCAAAAGCACAGCTTTATCAGACAGTTGCAGTTTAATGTTGGCTGACGAGTCTTCAGATGCGTCGCACAACTGGATTTCTGGACAGCTGACGTTGTGAAGTCCTGCACATTATTTCGAGTGACTTTAACGAGGCCGTGTTTTATGAGGTCTCCATCTGAAAAAGCCTTGCCATGTCTTGCGATGAGTTGGGCGACCTCATAGCTGGCTATTGGAGCCTTTTCCTGGACAATTTGAGCACGAAAAAAATACTGTTGCTGACCCCGCAGGAGAGCTACCATTTGCTTTAATTTCTGCTCTCGCTCAGCACCAGTGTAGGATGCATAGGCCTGATGTTTGGTTTCATAATGACGTCGTACATTATACTCTTTCATAACTGCCACAGTTTCAGTGCAGATCAAACAGACACACTTCCCCTTGAATTCTTTGAAGAAATATTCACTCTCCCACCGTGTCTGAAATTTTCTGCATTCACTTTCTACCTTTCGCTTCTTTGGTTCTTGCATGTTAGTAACCTTGGGGGACATGGGAGAAAAAAAAAAAATTAGGGAGGAAAAAAAAAAAATGAGGGAGGAAAAAAAAAAAATTTGGGAGGAAAAAAAAAATAAGACGGACTTTTGCGAGATCTCGCAAAAGTATTGCGAGCGCTCGCAAAAGTATTGCGAGATCTCGCAATAAGTATTGCGAGCGCTCGCAAAAGTATTGCGAGATCTCGCAAAAGTTTTAGCCGCATTTTCGGAGGCCGCCAGCTCGAAGCCGACCGGGAGGTCGAGGCACGATGTGCCGGGAAAGCGGTGTTCCTCCCGGCTGTAGTAGGTCTCGACCTCCCGTTAGCTTCGAGCTAGTGGGTGTCAGATCTCCAAAAACCTCGGAGCTCTTTTGCAAATATGTGATGTCTTGTAAACCGAGCAGGTATCTGACGTTTACACAACTACATTCACGCCTCAAAATATCTTAAAAGTGTATTTTGTGACCCAGAAAGAGTAATATTACAACTAAGTAGCTGCCGCCATTGTTGGAGTTTTGCGAGATCTCGCAATACTTTTGCGAGCGCTCGCAATACTTATTGCGAGATCTCGCAATACTTTTGCGAGATCTCGCAATACTTTTGCGAGCGCTCGCAATACTTTTGCGAGATCTCGCAAAAGTCACGTCTTATTTTTTTTTCCTCCCTAATTTTTTTTTTTTCCTCCCCAATTTTTTTTTCTCCCATGTCCCCTGGGGGGCTCCGTAGGTTCTGCCATGTTTAGTAACCTGGGGGTAAATTTCTTCTGTGATTGACCTTTTTGGTGGAGCAAATGCCTTGATCAACAGCAGCGCCCCCTGGTGTTAAAATTAAGAAGTGCAATACACTCAAGCAAAAGTTTGGGCCAAAGTGCGGGCCATATTCTATTCTATTTATAAAATTACTTGCGGGCAGTGTTGGGACTAACGCGTTATTAAGTAACGCTTACAGTAACTAGTTATTATTGTGGTAACGAGCACGGTAACTAGTTATTATGCCAAAATCAGGAACGACGTTAGTCGTTACTGGGATTTAGATAGGGTCGTTACTCGTTACTTCGTGTGGTGGCTATCGTGGAGCTTCCACAGATTCAGTAACATTAGCAAGTGGTGGAGGCCAGCAGGTGGATGAAGGAAAAGGGGACGCAGAAGTGAAACTGAACTTCAGGTAAGAAGTTATGACCTGCAGTCTCTCTGGGTCAGATATGAACCAAGTTTAGGTGGAGTTTATTTTCGTTATTCTGACTTTTTCGTACTGCGTGCTAGCTAGCATGACGGAGTTTCTATACAGCTGGGTGGGTGCTATGATTACTGATGTTGAACTTTATTTTGTTCATAAGTTATTAGAGTTGCCAACCGTCCCGTCTGGTATTCAGAGAAAATATTACGCGTTTCGTATTGAGGTGAAAAGGAACAGTTTGTCCCGTAATTCAGCTACAATGAAAAAGGCACAAAGCTGGAGTTATTCTGTCTTTGCTGCACAGCTGCCTCTTCTTCTCTCATTCTCCCCCCCTCTCCTGTTTCTACTTCAATCATGAAACTGATCAATGATCAGCTGATCGGCTTCTCTCTTGTTTGTTTATCGCCACTTTGCGCCAGAAAGAGGAAACCAGCGGATGTCGCGCTAAACAACAGCAGCACGTTTAAGCTTGATCAGCTGTTGTTAGAATTTATTTAATATTAATTTCTAGTATCAGCTGATGTTTGCTGGAGCCACAGCTGCAAAAGCTGCTGGTCATGATATGGTTTGGTTATCTGGTGAGAGGGAAACATGAAGATGAAACCAGGAGATGTCCTTACTGGATCATCAGAGCTGTGATGGAGAAACAGGTTTACCTTTTAGGTGACATGAATGAGTTGAAGGGAAGTTATGAACTGTTTCTGAGAGACAAATAACACCAGGATCCTTTTTTAGGTAGCTGACAGCTGGTAACTGTGCAGGGGCGGGTCTAGCAAAGTGTTGCCAGGGGGGCAGTAGGGCATTAACAGGGAGAAGGGGGGCACAAAGAAATACTTTTCTTTCTTATTCTCATTTAAAATGTCTCGCTTTTAAAAAATATATCTGAATCTTACAACAAACGATTGATAGATTGATGCATATATACCATCAGAACAGTGACATCACTGTCACAACAGGTTTGTTTTCATTCAAAGGCTTTATGATTTTTCCTATAATGGTGGGCCGGTCTCTAGTCAAAATGCCCGGGACGAATTTTTGTCCCAGTCCAGCCCTGTATGCAGCTCATCTGCAGTCTGGTGTTACCTACATCTTCCTATTCAGAGCATTCCATTTGACAATCGAAAGCACCACGACTGCAGTTTTTGTGTTGGATGTAAAAGGCGCACATGACGCTGTGACGTAGGCTAGAATCATGGCAGCAGTCAATGACGGTCCAGGCGTGGGATTTCTCTCGTGGAAATATGCACATTATCTTTTCCTTTCTATTGGTAGGTGGCACAGTGCACTTGTGGCAAGTAAGCAAGCTAGAAGACTGGCAAAGTTATGGAAGCAACACATTAACAAGAGAATTCTGAGTAAAACCAAAGTTACTTTCCCTAGTAACTAGTTACTTTGAAAGTAACGAGTAACTTGAAGTAACTGAGTTACTTTTGAGCGAAGTAACTAGTAATGTAACTAAGTTACTATTTTAAAGTAACTTACCCAACACTGCTTGCGGGCCAATTAAAAATGGACCGCGGGCCGCAGATTGGACACCCCTGTTTTATGTGGTCATATAAACGTTTCTTGTAATTTCTTAAACTGGTCTTGACTTTGTTAATAGCAGCCTATCAAAAACAACACAACATGTATTCCCATTCCCATTTTAGCTGAATCTACAAAAAATGCCAAAGATAACAAACACAGGCTGACAGCTATAAATCACTCTGCACTGACCTATGAATCATTCAAGTACAAAAAGGCACCTAATTCACAGGATGAACCAGTGTTGGGTTTACACATAAAAGACAATTTAGCAAAGAACCAGAGATAATTTTATTATATCTTTAGGTGCTTTATTACCAGCGGTACACATATCTTTTGTTTCCAATTTTGTAGGTGAGTTTACAAAAAATAGTAACGATGACAGAGTTTGGCAGATATAAAATAATATTTTACATCAATGAAGTGAGTCAGTGGGGCTATTTGCCTAAAACGTCACACATGTCAGCATGGTGTGTAGTGTGTTTTTAAAAGAAATGTGAGGAAACTGGACAAATGGTGTATAAAAAAAGAAATTCATGTCCTTAAGAAACAGACAAAAAAAAAAACATCCAGCATAACTGGCTGCGCCTTGGTTGCATTGTTTTGGATAGGTATGGGGGGAAAAGAAGAAAAACTGTTTATTAATACTGCTGTAATATTTGTTAAATATAATTTTTGTTCAATAAAAAAAGACCTTGATAAAAAAAAAGCCATCCAACAAAGACCTGACACAGGACCTGAGAGATACATCTGGACCTTCATTTGATCCATGTCAACGTCAGTGTAAGCGTGGCTCTCATTAAACCATTCTTCCAGAAGGGAAACAAGGAGAAAAGGCTGAGGTATCCGAAATTATAAAAGGAGTTTTAAAGGAGTTCCCACTATGATTGTGCTACTGTAACATTAGCAGTGAATTAAATAACATTATTGGCCAAAAAAAGTGCTTCATTAGGTTTTTTGAATTTGGTGTCATCTATCAAAACCTTTCTGGTGCTGGTAAGTTGTAGAACAGCTTGCTATGAGGATGTATTCGAACAGTGCAGATGCAAGTTAGATTAAACATGACAGGAACTTGGTTGTAGCAAAGAAATGAAGAAGGCTTCCTTTTACATGACAGGTTTAACATATTTAATGAGTAAACTGTCTGCAAGAACATACACAGTAATTAAGATGTACATTGACTCCAGACCCCAGCAAGCAGTTTTTGGTAATGGAAACAACGTGTTTAGGTTCCATTACACTTGTATCCATGGAAGTAATAATAAATGGAAAGTTAGGGTATATTAAAATATTGCATACACACTTAAGATTAAAATTCTAGTTTCCATTGTGAGCTCATTACAAACCACCATTCAAATCCTCAGAAATCTACCACCACAACACACATACTGAATGTGGTACAATCTGCTAACTCTTTATTAATGGAAATTTGTACATTTACTTACTGCAGGAAACTTGGTGACTCTGTTTAAACACCTGTTATCTACAATATAATGTTACGATCAGATAGGAATTCATGTGCTAAACTTTGGATTTTCAAATATCAAACATGGGTGCAGTAAACTGTGTTTCCTAATGAATAACAACTAAAGAAACAACCAGCATTTAATACGGCTGCCTTAGCTGAGATCAAGTGGACACAGCTTTTTTGCTTTGCACTGCTGATGCATTGCGGAGCATCGAGTCCGTGGTCCAATGAGGTCTCTTCTGTGTGTTTCAAGACCATCTGTGTCTGCATCAGCCTGTGGAGGTGGGTGAAGAAGAAGAGGTTATTATACACACTGTGAAAAGTCTGCTGTGTATATTGTAGTTCACAGGCTACTACAGGTTGTGTATCATTACTTTAAAGGATGGGTTTACTTATGTATTTATCTGCCATTTGTTCACATAATGTTAACGTTAGAAAGTAAAAAAAATCTTGTAATTTATGATGCATCTAAATAAATTTCATGTAAGTGTTCACAAATGTGTATATTATGTGATAACTTGGTTTGATTTATACAATCCAGTGTTTCTCAATATAATAAATCTTAATCTTAATATGGCTTAGAAGAGAAGTTGTTTCTTCACTTTGGAAAAAGCAAAAGTGTACAACTTGGGGAAAAATGTGCATTACAGTTCAAATCTTATTTTACATTCTACATATTTTTCACTGTCACTGTCGTTACTATTACAATTTCATCTTCTCTCCCCGCTTGAGGTCTTTGTGGACAGAGTGTCCCAAAACCTATCCAAATACAATGGGTGAGAGGGAGCATACACTTCATAATACCCTCGTAAGGCACAGATAATCAATCACACTGACCTTCGAGCAACATGAAGTCTCAAGTTTACCCGACCAATATATTTCCACAGGCTGACCTAACAGCACACACAGAATGAACTCTGTACACTATAGTCACTTTTTATGTGCAGGATTTACTGCATGGTTGATGTATCGGTCTGGGCTACACTGTAAAGGCCACCCCAATATTTGCATCAACATATTAACAGCTGTAATGATAAGCCATAGCACATCATCACATCCAATATTATACAGAGAAGACCATATGAATAGAGATGGGTTTAATGCACTAATGTCTGAGAACCATTAACACGACGATTAGAAAATTGCTGCGGTGCTTCAGTGCAAACAATAAGAATTAAAGTTTACTACAAATGTTCCTTTGTCATAAGTCATATTGTCATTTTCTAGCTCTCACAAAATGTGCTAACCAGAGGTTACTGAACACATCCAGTAAATAACAGAAGATCAAAGTATTTGGGACAGGGCACGCAGACTTAGTTCCTTAAAAGCATTTGTATCACATAGGAAAACATGTCATTAATGATAATAATTAGGAGGTGTGGCCCAGTAGGGTTTTTTTTTTCACATAGTGTATTTAATTACCTTAAATCTGTTTCTCTTCCTGTCCCATCTTAAACTGAGATTTCACTGCATCTGTAACAGTGATGGAGGTAAGTAAACAAGGTAAGTAAAAGTATTTATTTTAATCATAAAAAAGTCATTTTTTATGAAACAATATTTCTGACTAAATGTCTTGAAGTGTCACTTGAAGCTGTATCAGCAGGTAAGGTTTAATATTGTAGCTGTCCTACAGGGACCACACAGTGAGAAAAAGTCAAGCACAACATCTAATAAACATCAAATTTATAAAATCATGTAATGTGTATTTATATCAAAACTCTCAGGGTGTAAGTGTAAGTAGCTATTGTAAATATTGTGCTGCAGAATTATACAAACTGCAAATACCAGCAAAAGCGGAACAAAAGACACATCCAAATTTGTGCTGTGCGCTTTGTTCTTCATATTATTTTTGCTTCCGCTTACATTCAAACTGGTGTGAATTCCTGCTTCTCTGCCAGTCAGTTCAGTCAGTTCTTGCTAGCCAGTCTTATCTTGAGTTTATTATAATGTCAGTGAATTTTATCACTATAGTTTCAAATTCTTGAGCAAAGAAGAGCAAATTTATAAACATCAAAAAGCTTTACCTTTACCTGAGGTTTAAATCTGCATGTTGCTGAAGTGAAGTTTCATCTGTTCCTTTCAACTTGCTTCTCCAAGTCTTGCTTCACAAATCTTCCAAACTTTCCCCCATTTAGGTCTTGGGAATTGTTTACTCTTACATAAAACCTCTAATTTAGGTATCTTTTGGTTCTCTTTCTTATTAGATGAAAAACAGTACTACCACAAATTTAAAACCTTTGGCCTATTGTTTAGGCCTTTAAAAATTACTTTAAGAATAAATATGGGAATGGTCAGCACCTAGGATGTAGTTAGTTTTAGTTCAACACAAACCCTGGAGAGGCAGCTTTTGACACTTTAACCTTTCACATTGCCTACTCATTGGGAATTGTACCATCATCATTACTGCCTTTACACATTCTTTAAACACAACAGAGGATCTTCTAAGGACAGAGCAATTCACATAAGTTAGCCAAAACTTCTAACTGCTTATTTCCCACAGTTCCCACTCTTACTTAACTTTATGATCTGCTCATTTTTCCTCTTGTAAATCCTTTTGAAACAAATGTAATAATAATAACAAGAAAAATGAATAATGTAATTTTTTATGAAAATGAACCCATAGGCTGGGAACAAATTCTTACATAATGGTTGAAGGCATAGTTTTAAACCCACCCTCATTAGTAGACAGGTCACAGTTAATGATATTCTTTCAGTTTTAAGCATATTTTGCCTTGCTGTTAACAGAAACTGTGGCTGAAGTAGTCCGAGAGTAATGTTGTTGATTTAAAAAAAAGTAGCCCTCACTGTTTGTTGAAATATCTACACCTACATTTATAGATACTATTTTAGGATTGCTCTGCACATTCATTTGCCTCTTTTCGAGTATGTGATAATTCCATTCCTGGGGATGATCCGGGCAGGCATACCCTGCAGCCCATAAACATGAGGAATGCCCTCCGAAAGGAGCGATTGAACAAACCATACAGGAAAGGGTTTAGGGATGAGTTGATATACCCTAACCACAGAAAGAGATCCCAGAGGACCACCTCTGTGCTGTATTCAATGAACGGGTCCACGATGTTGACAGTAAAGAAGGGCATCCAGAAGATGAGAAAAACTCCCATGATGATACCTAAAGTTTTTGCTGCCTTTCTCTCCCTCTTCATGGCATTCCTGTGTCTTTTTTTCTTGCTTGAGTCTTTACCCACTCCAGCAGCCATCTGGCTTTCCATGGCACTGATCTGCCTGGCCTGCCGCTTGGCAGCTTTGAAGATCTTCCAGTAGGCTACTAGCATGATTGCCATGGGCAGGTAAAAGGCTACTAAAGAAGCCATGACAGCATAAATGCGACTGACCAAGAACACACATAAATCTTTAGGAATCACCATGTCTACACCAGCAACATGAAGGTCTAGCATAATGGGGCCAAAGGAAATGAGTATGGGGACAAGCCAACATACAGCAATGAGGAGAGCTACCCGCCTGTGGCTCATCTTTAAAGAGTAAACTAGAGGGTTACAGACAGCATAGTAACGGTCGAAGGCGATGCAGCTGAGATGAAATATGGAGGCAGTGCAGAGCATAACATCTAGGCTAGAGTGTATCCGACAAAAAAGAGAACCAAAGTACCAGCACCCCTCCACAGTTCGAATCATACTATAAGGCATCACTACAAGGCCAACTAGGCAGTCAGCCACCGCCAGGGACATGACGAAGCAGTTTGTGGGGGACTGCAGCTGCTTGAAGTAAGCAATGGACAAGACCACCAGGAAGTTGCCCACAACTGTGCAGATGATGCCAACCGACAGGAAAGCATACAGGAAAATGCGAGAGACCCGATGCCTCAATAAAGTACACGATTGAAGTTCAAGTTGAAGAGATGTGTTATCATCTCCAAGCCATCCCAAGGTGCTGTTATCCATGGCCTAATCAAACCTGTCAAAACATACAGAGAGAATTGGAAATAATTACTTCGAGGCATTTCATAGCACCACTCTATGGCACATTAACAATGAAAAAGTGGACAAACCACCCAGAATCCTGTTTGTTTCAGGCTGAAATGCAGCTCCGGGGCTACTTTTTATCAGTAAATCTTTGAACAGTGAACTTTGGTTTGCCATATAAATCACAAGAGACCATGGGCCTGAAAAGCTTGTTCTCAGAGCAGGGGGCGTATCTAACACACAATCTCTTTGCTTGCTGTGGCTAGCAATACCGGGTGGCCTTCTAATCAACGCAGATGTTGTTATAATGATTGAAAGGTTATATTATATTTTATTTACAAAATCACTACTGGACATTTAAAAAAAAAGGCTTAATGCATCAGACAATAGTTTGAATACCTTCAGAGGGAAGTGAATTCTCCAAATTCTCCAAAAGTAGGTGGATTTAGAGTCACAAACAAGCAAAATTACAGTATTACAGTGCAACCATGTCTCGTAATGCATGTCGAGGTAGGAGGTATTAAGACATTGTTTGGACTGATATTTATTTCCAATGCTCCCCTCTATTTGGTTCTTGACCAACCCATTTTAAAAATTAAACAAAACACCTTTTGTGAAACCATTTTATACCCATCAACACTGTAAATACTGCAACTTGAATTACTTGTTATATAGAACAAGGCCATTGTGCATTATAAAATTACAAATCATCAGCACTTAAGGAAAAAAAAAGTTAATGTCACGTTTCAGTTGAAATGATGATAACTTTGAATATTAGTCTCTAATTAGTCCCAAATTGAGAAAATCTGAACCTGAGTTGCTGAAAACGTTACTTACTGTGTATTTTAGCATTGTGATAAAGAATATGATAACTAAAAGAAGAATATAATCATAACTAGAAAATATATTATTTAAATTATTATTAAATTATGACAGAACCAAAAAAGTTAAGAGGCGCAAAACAAAATTAGAAAGCGCTGTTCTTCAGACAGTTGGGACGCAGTTCTTGAATAAGTGCTGAGGTCACAGAGCTTATCTTAATGAGGAGTTCCTGGTCTTTATGCACATTACTGTACAGATTAACACAACAAGTGATACCACACATAACTCAGCTGCTTTAACTTTCAGTAGTAAGTTACTACTACTTAGACCATTTTGATAATGATTTTTTTTTAAAGTCTTCTTTTGTTTGCTGCAATTAGTGGGTTAAAAAAACAACTTCTCAACTTTTTATAGTACAATTTTATATACCTTTATGTCCATACTGGTTTTTGCTGTATCAGAAAGTCTGTTTATTTGCACTGTTGACCATTTATTCTGGAAAAGCAGTTTTACTGTAGCACCTACCTCATCAAAGAAATAGAAGGCAGTTCAGCATTCAGCTAAAAGGTGTAGGAAGAGTCATGTTCACGGCCCTGAACGCATCATTTGATCTTTTCATTCTCTCATTTTTCTATTTATTGTACTTCCAGCCTATAATCATTTGTGCAACAGCTATATATTTGCATCTGGGTCTGATAATAGTCCTATCTAGCACAAAATGATCTGTCAGTTGATTTATATTATTCCTGGTGAAGGATTATGTATTTTTATTTTTTATCTTCACATCTTTCTGTCATAATGATCAAACAAAGCACTTGCATTATTTTGCACAATCTTAATTACAAATTATATAGGGGTGAAGCCCCATTTTTCATCTCAAATATAAATGCTTCAACTCACAACATCACAGGGATTCTATCAGAACAAAGAACAACTTGGTTACAGTTTAACTAAGCTTATTTAAAGCTGTAAACATTTCAGTCAGGGTTAGCGCTCACTAAATAAACAGTATTGTTTATTATAACAATTTCCCTTCACTAGCGCTCATAGAAAAACAGGTTAAAAAAATGACACTCACCTGTGATGAAGAAAAATGATCGTCTGCTCTTGTGTGTGTCATACTGCAGCTCTGTCAGCCTTAGATTTACACCGACGAGAGAGATAGTAGAGGAAGCGGGCTGTAATGAATACATGCAACAATAACCACACTAATTAAATGCCTTGCCTTGCCAACTCCCCTGCTAACACAATTCAAATGAATGTAAAAAAGGAAACCATTTTTTTTTGTTTTAGATTTTTTTTAAAAGATTTTCTGATGTGTGCACAGCGGCACAAAAGACATTATGTGGTTTAGAACAATAAAAAAAAAAATTAGAACATATCTGACACCCAAGTAATACAGTAAAACATAAAAAAAACCCTCTTTTTTTAAAGTAAGCAATTCCATATGGATAGGTCAAAGCATATTTTAAAGATCTAGAAGTCATTGGCTCCTAGTACAGGAGGTAAATATGTGAATGATATTTTTGTAAAATACCCAACCAATAAATGGACTTATTTATTTTCGCTTCAGGAAAGACTGCTGTAACTTTATCAGGGGTTACTAGTCTGCAACTGAAAAAACCAAGGTCAGCAAGTTTTCAAAGCAAGTTAGGATCATTCAAAACAATATAAAAGTAATTTTAAGAATCAAATTTGCTATTAGAAACAGTGAAATAATAATTAAAAAACAAAACAAATTCAATTTGATGAAATAATTAACAAACGATTTATTCAATTATCTGATTTCATACTTTAAATCAGTTTCATATTTGTGCAACTCCATTTGCTACAAACCCTTCAAACATCTCTCATCATCCCTTTCATGCGTTTAAGCGGGCAGTAGACCACAGCCAATCCTGCCGAGCTTGAATACCTTGGGCCTCAGCCAGTGACAGGCGTATTTCATGTGTGGCGGACGTGTTCTAATTAAACATGGGGGAATTTTTAATGAAGGGTGCAATAAAAGGCAGATTGCCTCAATAATTAGTGTTTTTTTTTTTTACCAGTCATTCATATGTGTAATGCAAGTGTTCTTTGTAGGCAGGGTAGACTACTACACATCTGTTCTTTTGTTTGTGAGAGTAAAGTGAGGAGACAGTGATTCCAGTGCTTTGTTTCTTGTACTCGACTGCAAATAAAATGACCCTTCTTATTTGGTTACACATTTCATTATCAATACAGTAATATTTATTAATGAGACAACATGTTTATTATTTGATCATTTAAGTTTGTCCTAATTTATATAATCACCATTTCAAATTGTACAAATTTAAATTTGAAGAATTGAAAAGTGTGTTTATCTTCTTCCGTAGTGAATATATTTAAAGAGATTTTTTTTTCTTGAGTCAGCTCTCTTTTCTTTTTTGTGAGCGATACAGCTACTTTATCAGAAACCTTTATCACAAATGGTCTTCGTCAGATTGGTTGTCAAGGAAACGTTGTTAAGGAAGGAAAACAGGGAGAAGGGGTCGAACTATGCTAAATTATGCAACAACTGGACTGATAATCACATGCAACAGATCCTAGGGAGATATGAAGTCAAATCTGAAATTTCTCGTTCAAATCATCATCAGTATGAAACACAGGGGATCAGGAAAGCGGGACACTCAGTGTCTTTAGCCATCTGTAAAACATAGTGGAGGTTCTGTCATGCATTAGGGTTACATTACATTGGAGATGTTCTTGTTAAAATTAAGATTCACCATGCAAAACCTTCAGAAAAGCATCTGATTGGCAATTTTCTGATTTTCATTTTCATCTGCTTTTCAGCATGACAATGCTGACAATGTTGACAGCTGGTGATTTAAGAGCATACATTGTAGGATTATTGCTGGTGGACTACCCAAAAGGTGATGGAGATTAGTAAGCAGGTTTTGGTATTTTTCTTTGGTGAAAATTTGAGCAATTTTGTCGTAAATGGAAAACTTTTAAAATCTAAAAGAATCGCTGAGTAAGTTTTGCTGCAGCTGCATCCATGTGTGCGGTGGTTTTGGTGGTCGAGGTAGTGTGTCTATTAAGGGAATAGTTCTTGAGAGTGTCTTGGTGTGACTGTCTCTCCCTCTCCTTTTTTCCTGTTGGCAAAGTGTTATGAGAGAATCCACTGTTTTCACCCCACTGCTTGGTACATTTAAGGTGAATATGCTCACCTTGCATATTGTCCTAATCCAGCCTTCCATTTCATCTAAAGAATGTGGAGGAGGATTAACAGAAATGTTTGCTTTTCTTCACCCTTACCATATTTCACCGTCCCAGGCTATGCCATGAAGAGAACTGTACAGAGGCAAGAACTTCTTCATCAGTGGCTGGGTTCAAAACTAAAACAATCTCAAAATATATTTTTGAATGTGAAGAGAGAGGATGTCAGCATATTGACATTTGGCAGGGAAAGTCAAGTTAACATTTCCTTAAACCCCCTGTTGTCATTCTGTATTTCACCAGCCTCAGTGCTCCACAGCTGACAATGCAACACGTTCTCATCCGACAATGGGTTCCAGCATCACTGTTAGTCCTTTTGTGTGTTCTTATCATGAGAAACATGACAGCGGAAGAGTGTGGGTGAAATACTGGCCAGAATTTGACTTGAGTTGGTTGATATAGTTTAAATGTGGATGTGGAATGGACTTGCACTTACATAGCACCTTCCCAAGGTGCTTTCAACTTAAGGCATTCACACACACATTCATACAGTGCTTTTATCTATACCTTGGAACTTTGAGTAACATTCATACACACACGATGGATGGTTTGGGGGCAACTGAAGGATCAGTATTTTGCTCACAAATACTTTGACTCATGGGCAGGAAGAGCCAGTGATTAGATTGGTAGATGACATGCTCCACCATCTTCCCCAAATGAAAAGTTATTTACCAAATAGTTATGGGTCACACAGACCACTGCTGTTTTTGAAAAAGTGGTACTCTTAAGTAATTACATTATATTTCAGAATTGTGAGAAATGCTGCACTCCTCTGTATACATAATTTGCTTTTTGTTTTCTATAAAATCTTTTCAACTTGTGGTCACTGCCTGTTGATATAAGGGCAGTTTAACCTTGTCTTACAGAGCACCAAAACTCTTGAATTTCAGGGACTAATTCTTGGGTTAATGCAGCCCTCTTCTGGCATGCCATTCTCATTACATATAGACAACGAGAACATAAATCAAATGCAAAAATCATTAAATTATACATTATTATTGTTATATGCATTATGTATGCACAAACAACAAAGTCATTACTGTTTAAATAAACTATATATTTTTCCCAAACAGTAAATTGGTGAGTGGATTCCTCCCACGGTCTGCTGAGAAACATACAACACATGTATGCATGTAGCTTATTTGTCTGTTTTTTTAAAGCAGTTCCTTCAGATAAATGTAAGCATATTCATTTTCATTAGTGATAAAAGGATTGTCACTTAAATTATTAATCGTTATTATTATTAGTAGTAGTAGTATTACTAGTTTCTCTCAATCCTAATCAAACTTTAAATGGCAACATTATAAAAGTTTCTTGTTTTAAAATGTTCTTAGAAACAGTTTAATGTTTTCATCAACTGTTCTCTCAAATCTCCTCTAAGATTAAGGCCAATTTCTGTGGAGAAATAGCCTAATTTCTTATATTGCACAAATGGTAAGGCAAGACAGATTCACATGTAACAATTTGCTAATTGCACTACTAAAAACATGTGTATCCCAGAAGCTTACCTGTTAAATCTAAGAAAAGACTGCTAGTGTTAGAAGCCTGCTTGTTTTGATGCTTTATAACATTTTTTCATATTGATACTCAATGACTAAAAAGTGAGAGTTCAATAAGGAGAGAGTTCATTAGAAGGAACTGAACATGATTTATAAATATACAAAATTCAATTATGTTATTTGGCAATTAGACTCTGATGGCCCATCACAGAAGAATGAAATCCCAGGGGTGACCCCCCAGAGTTTAGATGGTGGTGGTGGTAAAGACAAGATGGAGGCTTGGGTGGAGTGTCTTGTGTGAGACAGTGATGGGAAGGAAGTGGCTTGCATGAAGGAGACTGCAAGAGCGAATGAAAGATGAGCAGGGCGATTAAAGTACGCAGAGTGGAGGCTGACTGAATTGAAGAAGGCAGGCAGCAAGATGATTGGACTACAGTGATGATGTTGGCATTTGTTTTACAGTGGGGGAAAGTGATGTGAAAGAAAAGACTAGCAGCCAAAAACCTGGGAAAACGGGCTGATCAGTGAATACAGATGTTCTTTACTGAACTTATTATGGAAAAGGGTGGGCAGTGACATGGACAGCCAAGCTTGTCAATTTCATTTGTCAAATACCATAGGTGCATCTACTGAAAATCTTGGATAAGCAAGAATTTTGTTGACCTTAACAACAAGGTCAAAGGTCAAGTTTTCTGATAATCTTTTGAATGCAACATCTCAAGAAGTAAATGATATAGGATTTTGAAACTGATTCCAAAGGTGTATCTACTAAAAATCCAAAACTCAAGATCAGAAATGAACTTTTCTGAAAATCACCTATGGTTTTCAAACTTACACCATGGGTAGGGATGGGAATCGAGAACTGATTTTTATAGAGAACCATTACCTAGTCGACCAATCCTTTGGATTATTTAGTCTGCTCACTGCTTATGCTTTCCATTTGCACTTGAGCTTTGATCTGCTGAAAGTAGTGGTGTAGAGCGTGAATATGAATATTACTTTTATTTTTTGGCAAAAAAGGAGGAGAGCACAATGATGAAAGGCAAACTGCATGCAGGAGAGAAACAGCTACATTATGCTACCAACACAAGTTTGGCTCTTTGCAAACATCTGCACAGCCAGCATGCTAACGCTAAGCTAAGCCCCTGCCCAGCAGCCAGATCCTGAATTTCAACAAGTAACAAGCCGATGATCAGCCTCCATTTCTATTTCTGTTTATGTTTCTACAGTAGAATCACTGTGATGATTGCTTTGAAGTCTCTTTCTGCTGGTCTTCATCTTTGCTTGGTGCTGTCAGCTTTGTGGTCATACCTAAAT